CAAGAAATTTAAAGAATCAATGAGTGGTTTAGGTTGGAAGGGATCTTAAAGATCATCTAGTTTCAATCCCCCCTGCCATGGGCAGGGACGCTTCCCACTTGATCAGGTTGCTCAAAGCCCCATCCAACCTGACCATGAACACTTCCAGGGACAGGACATCCACAACTTCCCTGGGAAATCTCCTCCAGTGCCTCACCACCCTCAGAGTGAAGAATTTCTTCTTTAGATCTAATAGGAATTTCAGGAGGTATTTTTTTCTGAAGACCTAAGGAGCTCCGGATATACCTGGCCTGCAGCATTGCTTGCTCCTTTTGCTTGCCACCCACCTCTGCTGTACCAACACAGCACACTGCTGCATTAGTTTGCTGTGCACCATTTTAAGTGTATCAGGAATTCCTAAGTGGAAAAAAAAAACAACTAAAAAGCAAATCACCGCGTAAAAGAGGTGTCCACAGCAAATGTTTTTGTTTGGCCTTTCTTCATGCATGTCCCTCATCATTGCTAAACTTGTGGAGAGGGTGTGTGCATGGATGAAGAAGTTGAGGATGACACCTGGAGGTCAGAAGCTTCTCTGACAACGAGGAGCCAGGACCGTTACCTCCAGATAGGAGGCTGGGTGAATACAGCTCCAAACAGATAATATGGCAATTCAACAGGCACAAAGAGGAGGAATTGCCCACCAATGGTTTCCTTGAGAGACTACAGCAGCTCAGAAGGGGTGAGCAAGCCCCTGTGTGCTGACCATAACTGGTAGCCAAGATGGCAGGTTACCAAAAAAACAATGGTTGAATGGAAAAAATGCTTTGGCAGCCTCGGACATTACAGACTTCCACACAGGCTGCAGCGTGGCTCTCCCCAGCAGAGAAGGCAGCTGGAATCATACAGTCATAGAATCATAGAATGGTTTGGGTTGGAAGGGACCTTAAAGGATCATCTAGTTCCAACACCCCTGCCATAGACAGGGACACTTGTCACTAGATCAAGTTGCTCAAAGCCTCATCCAACCGGAACTAGATGATCTTTGAGGTCCCTTCCAACCCTAACCATTCTATGATTCTATAGTTCTATTGGGCAGCCACAACTTCTCTGGGCAACCTGGTCCAGTGCCTCACTACCCTCATTGTAAAAAATTTCTTCCTTAGATCTAATCTAAATCTCCCCTCTTTCAGTTTAAATCCATTGCCCCTTGTCCTGTCACTACACACCCTTGTCAAAAGCCCCTCTCCAGCTTTCCTGTAGGCCCCCTTTAGGCACTGGAAGGCTGCTGGAAGGTCTCCCCAGAGCCTTCTCTTCTCGAGGCTGAATGCCACCATCAAAGACGAAGCTAAGATGGTGACGGTCCCAGCACTGGCTGCCTTCACCTGGGATTCTGCAGGGTTAGTCCTAAGCATGACAGCAGCTCCCTGCCTGCTTGATGCCTTTTTACCACTCAGCATTGGCTCCGAAGGCACATGGATGCATTAACGCTCGGCTCCTGACAAGGCTGCTGGGGCAGCGCTGGCTGGAGGCTCACAAGGGACATCTCCCCAGAGCCATCCCCTGAACGAGGGAACAACGGTGAGCACTGTGGTGACCACACCGGTCTGCATCCATTATAACCCCCCTGCTCAGCCTCTTTCCTTACCCCAAACCCCTGCTTCCGTTCGGATAGACAGCAGTGTTTACTTCAAACCCGCCACATAGGAATTAATTTTATTTTCATCATCTGCACCGCCCGGTTAAATACACTCGGGCGAAGGAAGCGACCATTCACAAATACATTTCAATGGTCAGCGGCTAAACGGTCTCCAGCCCCGCCTGCCAAAGCCATCTGCCCATCAAATCTGTATTCCTTGGCATCCCCAGGAGCTAAAAACCTATTTTCCGAGGCCAACTGGCTCTTCACCATAAAGAGCGAGGGCTTGCGTTTGGCCAACGCAGGACGAAGAGGCTTGTTCATGGTGGCAGTGGAATGAATTTGTCTTTAGTCTCAGACCACCAGATTTGGTTTTCTGAAATATTTAATGCAGTTTGTTGTTTTTTGTGTTTTTTTTTTTTTTTTGCAAGCTGAAAGGGAGGGATTTAAAGAAATTAAAAAA